GAATACCTATGAGTATTAATTTTTTTAAAGAAGTAGTGTGTACTTACACTTTAGAGCCCAGAGTAGTCTTTGCTGTCTGAATGAGAGGCTCTAGGTTCTCTGGGTCAACAAGAAAACTGTCACTGATCTTGTCCAAGTTCTCAATAGCAATGCGAGCAGCTTGTTCATACCCATCTGCTATTCTGATAGGATGAATACCACGATCCAACAAGTGCTCTGCCTGTTCCAATAGAGCACCTGCAAGAACTGCAGGAGCAAAGTTGTAACAAAAACATTTTACCTCTTTAATAGGCAATTTTACCTCCATTATTATTTACTAAATTTCTATACTGCTCTTCATCCAAAGATCAAAAGGTGGTTTACAATATAAAACCACAAAACTACATACCATAATAACAAACAAATAATACCCCCACCGCAGTTTAAAAGCCAATACAGTGGTACCTCAGGTTAAGTACTTAATTCGTTCCAGAGGTCCGTTCTTAACCTGAAACTGTTCTTAACCTGAAGCACTTTAGCTAATGGGGCCTCCTGCTGCTGCTGCGCCGCCAGAGCAAGATTTCCTGAAGCAAAGTTCTTAACCTGAAGCATTATTTCTGGGTTAGCGGAGTCTGTAACCAGAAACGTATGTAACCTGAGGTACCACTGTACACGGTTTAATTAGCCAAAAGCTTGTGAGGTGAGGAATGTTTTTTCTGGCACCTAAAGATAAGTTCCTGAAACAGACAGCTGTGTGCAAGCAAGTCCATGAATATTTTTATTAATATACCTGCCAACACACACCAATTAGAATATTTTGAAGAATACTAACTAACTGAAAAACCTAAATCTTCCAGTTTTACAATAACTTGATATTGAACAATAACTTGGAAATCATTTTACCAGCTACAATCAGATGATCAGGTAAATAGGTATTATAGGGTTTTGAAGCCAAATAGGGTAGAAGGACTAAAGATGTCCAATTCAAAGTAATAGTTGCCCTAGTCTCATAATTTCCAAAAACCATTTTTAATGAGATATTATATAGAATGTGAAACGTGATATCCAATATAATAGCAAGAGTAAAATATAAAATCAAGGCAGTGTGTCAATATAACACAAATTAACCGATACATAAAATAAACAACTTAAAATATAGCTTTATAAAGCATTATTCCATCAGAAAATAAGCTCCATCCTACAGAAACAAATTGCTCCCGCTGATACAATTCTGGAGGCAGAGGACTGGCCAGTGCTGCCATTTTGAAGATTAAGATGCTTACATTTTTTCATTTGGGAAATTTGGGAAAAGATCATTGGTCATGGAACACAAAACTCTTGTGTTACTGAGATTAGACCTACTGAAATGAATGGATTTAAGTTTATCAATTTGTATGGGTCTACAGTGGTACCTCGGGTTAAGAACTTAATTTGTTCTGGAGATCTGTTCTTAACCTGAAGCACCACTTTAGCTAATGGGGCCTCCTGCTGCCCAATTTCTGTTCTCATCCTGAAGCAAAGTTCTTAACCTGAGGTACTATTTCTGGGTTAGCGGAGTCTGTAACCTGAAGCATCTGTAACCTGAAGCGTCTGTAACCCAAGGTACCACTGTATTTAAAGTATGACAAAGTTGGACATCACCCAGTGCCAGTTCTGTTTTATAGAACATAAAGGTAAAGGGACCCCTGACTATTAGGTCCAGTCGTGGCCGACTCTGGGGTTGCGGCGCTCATCTCACTTTACAGCTTCCGGGTCATGTGGCCAGCATGAACCAGAGCAGCGCACGGAAATGCTGTTTTACCTTCCTGCCGGAGCAGTACCTATTTATCTACTTGTACTTTGACGTGCTCTCGAACTGCTACGTTGGCAGGAGCAGGGACCAAGCAACGGGAGCTCACCCCGTCATGGTGATTCGAACTGCCAACCTTCTGATCGGCAAGTCCTAGGCTCTGTGGTTTAACCCACAGCGCCACCCACGTCCCTTTCTAGAACATAAGGTAAAGGTAAAGGTATCCCTGCCCGTACGGGCCAGTCTTGACAGACTCTGGGGTTGTGCGCCCATCTCACTTAAGAGGCCAGGGGCCAGCGCTGTCCGGAGACACTTCCGGGTCACGTGGCCAGCGTGACAAGCTGCATCTGGCGAGCCAGCGCAGCACACGGAAACGCCGTTTACCTTCCTGCTGGTAAGCGGTCCCTATTTATCTACTTGCACCTGGGGGTGCTTTCGAACTGCTAGGTTGGCAGGTGCTGGGACTGAGCAACGGGAGTGCACCCCGCCGCGGGGATTCGAACTGCCGACCTTTCGTTCGGCAAGCCCTAGGCGCTGAGGCTTTTACCCACAGCGCCACCCGCGTCCCTTTATAGAACATACTGGACATTAAATAAAACTCATTTTATTTCAAAGTATCCTCTTTCATTCAGGTAGGTAGCTGTGTTGGTCTGACGCAGTCGAAATACATTAAAAAACTGTCCAGTAGCATCTTAGAGACCAACTAAGTTTCTTCTTGGTATAAGCTTTTGTTTGCATGCACACTTCTTCAGATACACTGAAACAGAAGTTATATATGGGGAGGGGGGGGTTCTCAGGAGGGTAGGAGATGGGTGATTGACTCAATGGGTATGAAACTTAGTTGGTCTCTAAGGTGCTACTGGACATTATTTATATATATATCCTCTTATCATGTTAACCTTTGAATTTCAAGTACTTAGCAAGTGTCATCATGAGCAGAGATGATAAAACCACTTTTACCACCTCAAATATTAGAATGGATAAAAACGGAGTACCACAATTTAAGACCTATCATGCAATTTTACAAACACTGGGAGGAATCCCTATTGAATAAACATTCTCTAGTAAATGTGCAAAACTATTTAGTTTAAAGAAACTGATCCAGGTGAACAATCCATGCAGTTACTGCAAATAATGCCATTTTATGCTACTCAACTGGGTTAAAGTTTTATGCACTGGCAACTGATCAACTGCTATAAGCTGTAGCTTTGACTCTTTTATAAACAAAAACACAATGTGGCAATGTGTATAATTAAATACAGTGGTACCTTGGTTTTCGAACATAATCCATTCTGGAAGACCGTTCCAAGTTCTGAAATGTTCGAAAACCGAAAACTCAATAGCCGACAGCTAGGCCTCAGGATTTTGCACTCAGTGAAAGCCGCATGGAATGTTAGACTTCTGAGGAGTGTTCAAAAACCGAGGTACCAGTTACATATGATACTTAGTCGTTACTGTCAAACTTAGCATTTTTTATAAGGAACTTGAAATCACTTTTAAAGTTACAAAATTTCAACACATAAGATTCAGTAATCTTACCAACAACACCTGTGGTCCCATCCCCAATCTCATCATCCTGAGATTTCGCCAGCTCAACCATAAGTTTAGCAATTTGATGGTCCACATCCATCATATTCAAGATGGTGGCACCATCGTTTGTCACAGTCACATCACCATCCTTGTCAACCATCATTTTATCAAGGCCTGCAACAAATATTGAAACAAAATGCCAGCATGAATAGAAAAGCACTTTAACACAGCAGATTTAAAGGTTTATAACATAATTATACTTACCATTGGGCCCAAGCGAAGATCTTAGAGTATTGGCTACTGCCTTAGCTGCCAATATGTGAGACTATAAAACACAAGTACAGAACCAGTATTACAAAATCTTGCAAGAACAGAGATGGAGACAGTGCTGCCTCTTTTTATTTTTTTTATATTTCATTAGCGAAATGGAATAGACATATAACATAAGGGTCACCAAGAAATGTAACCATTCATATAATTCTTTCTGTAATTGAATCTGTACATACAGATGAATTATACAACCTGAATGACTGCATCATTTTCGTGTCTCTAAGAACATGGAGAGTATTTGCTAGGCAGGGTGTTAGCTCCTTTCCGAAACTTTCAAAATGAAAGGAAAGGAGCTCTCTCTCGTTCACCCCCCCCCAAAAAAAGCTCTCAAACGGTTAGTGCAGTGTGACGACATTCCTGTCCCTCTGGATCGTCAAGGATCCCGATCAATTCTGTCAAACGCTCCAAACGCTGCTCCGGTCCAGAAAGGGACCGGAAGGGGCAAATAAGGTGTAGAATATGGGTAGGCAACCCAAGGCCCGGGGGGCCAGATCCGGCCCAATCGCCTTCTCAATCTGGCCCACGGACTGTCGGGGAATCAGTGTGTTTTTACATGAGCAGAATGTGTCCTTTTATTGAAAATGCATCTCCGGGTCATAGGAATGCAGTCCGGCCCCCCACAAGGTCTGAGGGACGGTGGACCGGCCCGGCGGGAAAAGTCTGCAGACCCCTTGGTGTAGGAGGAGGGTCGGGGGGATAAAACAAGGCGGCCTGCAGGGAGCGGGACCAGAGAAGGGGCGGCAGTTGGGAGGAGGGGTCGGACTCCCTGAGGGGGGGCGGGGGGCACCAACACCCTGCGCCACAGGGAGGGGGGCCGGAGCTCCGCGCAAAGGGGCCGGAGCGAGGCGGCGGCGGCGGCTCCGAGCACAAGGAGCGGCCCCTGCTGCCCCACGAGAAGCAGCGAGAGCCCAGCGCGCCGCCCTGAGCCCGCCCGGGGAGAGAGGCGGGGAACGGCAGCGGCGTGAGGCGGCTCTTGCAGGACCAGGGCCGGCCTTCGAATCCGAGGGCCGGCAGGCCTCCCCGCCCGCCCGCCCGCCCGCCCGCCGCGTACCTTGAGGGCCTCTATGCCGGTGGAGCGGCTTTTCCGCTCCTGGTCCTTGAGGATGAGGAAGGGCCGCCCGTACTCGTCGAAGGCCAGAGTCCCCATGGCCGACATGGCGGCGGGAGGCAGAGAAAGGGATGGAGGCCTTGGAGCAGCCGCGTGAGGGAAACGCCAACTCCCGCTGCCGCTCCCGTCTCGCGAGAACCTCCCGACCGGCACCTCGCCCAAACTGTTCTGGAAGCGTCTGGGGCAGAGGCGCGAGCGCGCATGCGCTCCGCTCACGCCCAACCGTCATAGAGATAGAGGGAGGGGTTATCATCTGAACTTCCGGCTTAAAAGCGAAAGCCTCTCTACGCTACGTGTTTAACCCATCTACGTCGTTTCTTTTGTATACCGCCTTCCTGCGTTGGTATACGCGAGGCGGTTTACAAGGAAGCGAACCAACATGCGCCACGAAGATCGCAGTTCTTATAACAGTCCCGCATCCAATACAAATAAGTCCCAACAAAAACAAGCCCCTGTCAGCCCCTCTTCCATCCTCTGAGATGATGGACTCCTGCCTCTGCTGCCGCCGCCGCCTTCTCTCCGGGAGAGGGCGCCAGTCTCAGCTCAACTAAAGCCCTGGATTTCTCCATGTTCTCTGCGGGCAGCTCCCCCTCCCATCTCCAGGGCTTTGGGAGCCTGAAAGCTTTCGTTGTGCCCCTCTGCCGTTTTCCTATCTCTATGCGCCAACCAGCCTAGGCGGGGCGGGGGAGGGAAATCCTGAATTCGGAAGCGGAGTTTCTGCCCTTTCCCCCCTGCGGCCTCGCTTCGAGGAGCAGCCAGGTGGCGGAAGGTCTTCTGAACTCGACGGTATCCTTTGGCTTTGCAGTGGGAGCAGGCAAGGAATCCCTTCACTCCGGGGGACGCCCTGTCCCCCCCCCCTTCGGGGGCACAATGGTGCCGCCTGCCCGGAGTGGCGGCCTCCCTGAGGCTTCTGCCCGGAGTTGGCGCGCTTGGCGTTCCTCCCTCCCTGCCCTCGGCCGCGAGTCTTGCTGGGGAGCTCAGTTCCGGAATGCCGGCACCTTCCGGGCCGCTCTTTGCCTCCCTCTCTTCACTTTCCCCGCCGCCCTTCTCCCTCTTTCTTCGAAACTGTGGTAAATGGCCAGGTGAGGTTTGACCTAGAGGAAGCCACGGGTCCGACAACAACAACAACAACGGCCGACGCGTTTATTAATACTGTATTTACATGCTGTCTAGTAACAAGCTGCAAGAATGAGTGATTTCCAGTGCAATATACTACAACTATAAACTAAGTATAAAGAGGAAAATAACATCGGAATAAAAAAAATCGAAACACAAGCGAACACAGGGTTTAGATTTTGAAGTAAAGGGCTTTATCCAACTGGTACTCTGGCAGGCAAGGGGTTTTTTATCGGAGTTGTCCGCTAATGGAGCGGGAGGGCAAGCAGTTTATGCCGGTTCCCCCTTGCATCCATCTTAAAACATATTTTGGAGGGTTCCACCAACTGTCCAGAACAGATATTTGGAGTGCAGGGAGGTGACAGGGGGAGAAAGAATTTGCAAAAATTGCTGCCCCTTCCATTAGCAGACACCTGCTGAAGCAACAGTGCATGGACAACTACTTGGAAATAAGTTTTATTAATTTTCAATTGCAGAAATCCAGTATAGGCCTTATTACAGTGGAGCCTCGACTTACATAAGCCTCTTGCGGACATTCCAAGTTGCATCCGCAGCAAACCCGGAAGTAAACACCAGGTTTGCTGTGATTCGCACATGCACGGAAGTGGCTGCCGTTGAATGCGCACATGCACAAGATGCCTCTTCTAGCGTCCCGTTTCGACCAGCGAAAGGACCTCCGGAATGGATTATGTCTGTAAGTAGAGGTTCCACTGTATATCAATACCAAATTACAATGCCAATTCAAATACAAATCAATAACATAACCAATTATAAAATTTAAGTGGCCCCCTGCATGCTGTACTTCAAGGTCTACTAATTCCCTTTAATTCTGCTTCCAAACTATTACTCAATCCAATTACTATCCAATCTTGATAAAATCCCTTATACCTCAGTTACAATGATTTAACTTCAATTTGTATTAACACATTTAGTAATATATAAGATCACTAGTGAAGTTATCCTTTCTTCTTCCTGTGTCAGGTATTAATCTTAATCAATTGTTCTTTTATGTCTTTGTAAATATTATGCCCATCTTGGTTGTTCCTGGTCTCCTTCGTGCCTTACGGCGCTGTTGACTGGGTGTCACTCTAAAGAGATCTCTCCTCTTTTGTTCTCTAGGCCCTCTGATTGCAGCTGTAAAATTCCATCGCCATTACTTTCAGTCTCAGGAGGGGGGGATTTCCCTGGAGCCATGCCAAAGCCCTGGCAAGCCTCCAAACTCTCCCCTCTCTGTCCAACTGAAGAAATTAGCTAAAATTACTCGTAGAAGAGTGATCTGGTGCCCCGCGAAAGCCTTGGCAAGTCCTCAAAGTTCAATCCGTCCTCCCCTCTTACTTCCTGACAGTAAGAGCTGTTCGACAGTGGAATTTGCTGCCAAGGAGTGTGGTGGAGTCTCCTTCTTTGGAGGTCTTTAAGCAGAGGCTTGACAACCATATGTCAGGAGTGCTCTGATGGTGTTTCCTGCTTGGCAGGGGGTTGGACTCGATGGCCCTTGTGGTCTCTTCCAACTCTATGATTCTATGATTCATGGGGAAAAATAAGAATTAACTCAGTAGATTCCCAGTCTTTTTAAAATTCCATTTGTCATTGTAATCCATATCTATACGCCTGTCTCCCTTCATCTTCACTTGCTATATGAAAAAAGAATTGGGGGGGCTTTCTTGGGGGCGTTGCTGAGTCTTTTATGTAACAAAGTATTTATAACGAAGCCATTGGCTCCCCTCTGCAACACATACCGTTTTTTAGATCGAATGAAGTTATCATTCGAATTTAAATCTGTACGACCTTGTAGCTACAGTCATACCTCATGTTACGTCCGCTTCATGTTACGTTCTTTCAGGTTACGTCCTGCGGCGGCCTGGAAGTACCGGAAAGGGTTACTTCCAGGTTTCGCCGCATGTGCAGAAGCGCAAAATAATGTCATGCACAGAAGCGGCGAATCGCAACCCGCATGTGGCTTGCACTCTTTTCACGTTGCGAACGGGCCTCCGGAACAGATCCCGTTTGCAACCAGAGGTACCACTGTATTTCAATTCAGCAATCCTTAATCTTGCCCCATCATTACCAGCACACATCTGTGCATTAATCTGTGCATTAATCCTAATTAAATTCTTAATGAACAGAAGAACTGCTCCTTCTTAATGGCGCTGTTGGAGGATTACCAACAGGTGAAGTGCTTTTTCATTCAGTGCCTCCCGCATTCCATGTCAGAGCGAAAGCCAGGTACCGAGATGATCTGCGAGTGAAACTCCCCCCAGGGTTGGGGGAGTTTACAAAGATAATTACCCTCAGTCATCTTTGTTTATTCCTTCGCCACCAATCTCCCGTTGTTCTGGGAGCTGCACCATTGAGGCAACTGGAACCGGAAGCTGCAATAACTACTTGGATTCTTGAGAGTTTAAAAAGCCCAGGAAAAGAAAAACATTTTGCCCGATACTGAAAAGTGTACACCCCCCCCCAAAAAAAGAGATACCCATTCCCTGATGGAAGATAATCTCAGTGTCTGGCTTCGGACATATGGGAGGAGACAGTCCCAGGCTGTTTAGGACTTTATAAGTCAGCATCAGCACCTGGAACTGGGTCTGGAAACAGACTGGAAGCCAGTGCAGCTGACAGCACTATCATAATACAGTGGTGCCTCGCAAGACGAAATTAATCCGTTCCGCGAGTCTCTTCGTCTTGCGGTTTTTTCGTCTTGCGAACCATGGCGCTTAGCGGCTTTAAGAAAAAGGAAACAAACTCGCAAGACGTTTCATCTTGCGAAGCAAGCCCATAGGGAAATTCGTCTTGCGGAACGACTCAAAAAACGGAAAACCCTTTCGTCTAGCAAGTTTTTCGTCTTGCGAGGCATTTGTCTTGTGGGGCACCACTGTATGATAAGGACGCGGGTGGCACTGTGGTCTAAACTGCCGAGTCTGAGCTCCCGTTGCTCTGTCCCAGCTCCTGCCAACCTAGCAGTTTGAAAGCATGCCAGTGCAACTAGATAAATAGGTACCGCTGTGGCAGGAAGGTAAATGGCGTTTCTGTGCACTCTGGCTTCCATCACAGTGTCCTGTTGCGCCAGAAGCAGTTTAGTCCTGCTGGCCACATGACCCAGAAATCTGTTTGTGGACAAACGCCAGCTCCCTCGGCCTGAAAGCGAGATGAGCACTGCAATCCCATAGTCACCTTTGACCAGACTTAACTGCCCAGGGGTCCTTTACCTTTAGCTAATATGGTTAGATGGGCCAGCCCCAGTTAACAGTCTTACAACCCTATTCTGGACAAGCTGAAGTTTGTGGCCTGTTTTCAAAGGCAGAACCACAAATGCTGCACTGAATTTGTCCAAAGGGTAGATTACCAGAACGTGGATAACCAAAGCAGATAAACTATCTCCATGTAGATAGGATTGCAGTTGGCAAATCAGCAAAAGCTGATAAAATGCACTCCAGGCCAGGCTTAGATGTTTTTGACTTCCAATAAAGTGGTACCTCGGGTTAAAAGCACCACTTTAGCTAATGGGGCCTCCTGCTGCCGCTGAGCCGCCGGAGCACGATTTCTGTTCTCATCCTGAAGCAAAGTTCTTAACCTGAAGCACTATTTCTGGGTTAGTGGAGTCTGTAACCTGAAGCGTATGTAACCTGAAGCGTATGTAACCTGAGGTACCACTTTATTACATTCTATTATCTTGCTGCATAGCTGTTTGTGGCCATTGTTTCCCTCCTGTTTTGTTACTATAAAGGTTCTTTCACATGCCATACAGTGCACATCATGAATATTTACAGCCCAATCCTATGCAAAATGGGGGATAACAAGGGCTGTTGGAATCAGCAGGCCTAACTCTCCATAGGGTAGAGCAGATGGCCTTCAATAAATGTCTCTGGTCTAAAGACTGTGGCTTGTAGCATATTCTGCAGCATGTGGGGCTTACAGATGAGTAGGCCTGCACAGGGTTAGACTGCTCATTTCGTTGCAGAACTTGCAGTGAAATGAGCAGCCTAATCCTATGCATGCTTCTCACATGTAAGTCCCACTCAGATCAGTTGGACTTGCTTCTGAATAAACAAGCTTAGGATCAGGCTGAGTGTTTCTGAATTCTCAGTGATTCTGATAATGCATTCAAAAGGAGTTTATTTGCTTAGTGAGCTTATATATCATATGGTCTTTTCCAGATTTCCCCCCCATTGCAAATAGAATCCAATTTATGAAGGAACATTAACATTTCAAGCGTTAGAACACCAATGAACGTTACAGTAGAAATGCCAAAGGAAATATTTCTGATGAGAGATCATCCTTCATTATTCAGATCCTGCGAGACTGGGTGTTGTTGTTGTTGTTGTTTAGTCGTTTAGTCATGTCCGACTCTTCGTGACCCCATGGACCAGAGCACGCCAGGCACTCCTGTCTTCCACCGCCTCCCGCAGTTTGGTCAGGCTCATGTTTGTAGCTTCGAGAACACTATCCAACCATCTCATCCTCTGTCGCCCCCTTCTCCTTGTGCCCTCCATCTTTCCCAACATCAGGGTCTTTTCCAGGGAGTCTTCTCTTCTCATGAGGTGGCCAAAGTATTGGAGCCTCAACTTCACGATCTGTCCTTCCAGTGAGCACTCAGGTCTGATTTCCTTAAGAATGGATGCGTTTGATCTTCTTGCAGTCCATGGGACTCTCAAGAGTCTCCTCCAGCACCATAATTCAAAAGCATCAATTCTTTGGCGATCAGCCTTCTTTATGGTCCAGCTCTCACTTCCATACATCACTACTGGGAAAACCATGGCTTTAACTATACGGACCTTTGTTGGTAAGGTGATGTCTCTACTTTTTAAGATGTCTAGATTTGCCATCGCCTTTCTCCCAAGGAGCAGGCGTCTTTTAATTTCGTGACTGCTGTCACCATCTGCAGTGATCATGGAGCCCAAGAAAATAAAATCTCTCACTGCCTCCATTTCTTCCCCTTCTATTTGCCAGGAGGTGATAGACTGGGTAGTATGTATTAATACTAGATTGTGTATGTATATTTTGTACTGTTTAAATGAGAACCGAACTGAGGCATAATTCAGTTTCTCTCATAATTCATTTTTGTTAATACAATTTGAGGCAGTGTTGACAAGAGGCACAGTCCAGAAAGGAAATTGATGTTTTAAATTAGAAAGCAGAGGCATGATATTCCCAAAGCCAGGAATTTTTAAATCCTGCTGCTGTGAATGCGAGAGATTTAAACACGAACTTCATGTATAATTAACTAATGAAATTTGCTGCTACAAGATGTGGCGGCCCAGCGCTCAGACAGCTTTAAAAGGGAATTAGATAAATTTGTGAATGGTAAATTTATCTAATCCTTAATGGACCCTCCTTGTTCAGAGTCTGGGTACCTTTGAATGCCAGTTTGTTGTTGTTTAGTTGATTAGTCCAGTGTTTCCCGACCTTTTTTGGGCAAAGGCACACTTGTTTCATGAAAAAAATCTCGAGGCACACCACCATGCCAGATGGGGAAAGGTCACTTTTTACTTATGTAAAAAAAATATAAAAAATAGTAACAGCATAGAAGGTAATGAAAGGATATGTTGATGGTTCAAAGGGGAGTCAAGAGAAAACTTGCTTCACCAGCAGATCAGTAAGCAATTAGGAAATAAACTTTGGTGCTCTGAGGTATACAAAAGTTAACCGTGGAAAAGAATGTATATGCTTGCTGCAAATAGTGAGATGATGCAACATTAGTTATGGGGGCGATCCGTCCAAATGTAACACTTTTAGGTCATTTTCAGTAGGAAAGATTTAAGAATGGGTTGCATCTCCCCCCCCCCCCGAATGGCTTAAAATAGTGATTCACTTGGGTTGCACACCCTGTTCTATGCATTTGTTGTTGAGAACTGGCGCATCTGGGACTCCTGGGCCAGGTGAGAGGGACATTGGCTTTGCCTCTTGGCGGTTTGAGAAGCATCCCTGACCTTTGCGGGTGTCCACACACTTCCACGTCGCGCTCCTGGGATCGTGTGGGGACTAAGAGACGGCCGGAGGGGGGTCTGGCGAGCCCCTGGGCACGATCACCCTCGATTACGGGGAGCAGGGGGCTCTTCTGAGGGGAAAGCGGAGCGCAGGGGGGGGAGAGTGCGCTCCCCGCCAGAACCGAAAGGAAGAGCCGGTTCGGGGCGGGGGGGAGCCAGAGCAGCGGCTGCCCCCCTCCCAGCTCCCACGGGACCTTCCGCCTGAAGGAAACCCTTTTCCCGCCCCCGGAGAGCCTCGCGCGCGGGGTCCAGAGGGGGGAGGGGGAGAGAGGCAGAGAGCAGAGGGCGCGCACCCCCCAGCCACGCATGCGCGCCTCAGCCGCGCCTGCTGGGCGGTCCTTTCCCCTGGGCTCCGCCCCTCGCGACACAGGGCCGCCCGTCGCAGCGTCGTCCCGCGGGGCTGGCGCCGGGCGCGGCCACGGATAGAGCGAGCGAGAGCGCGCCCGCCCTCGGCTGGCTGACTGGCTGGGCCGGCGCGGCGAGGGGCAGAGGCGAGAGGCTGCGCGCGGATCCGGCGGCGGCGCGCCCCCGCCGCCGGAGGAGAGCAGAGGCAGGAGGAGGAGGACGAAGGCGCTGCCGAGGAGGCGCGCCAACTTCAGCGCCCGCCCCGTCGCCGCAGGCTCCTCCCGGCCGAGAGCCGAGAGGATCGGCCGGCGGCGGAGCAGGAGGAGGAGGATCGGGTTTGGCGACGGCTGCTGCGTCCTCTCCAAGCGCGGGGCTGGCCTCCGCCGCGCCCGATCCTCTCGCCTCTCGCCGCCCGACTCGCCCGCCTCCCTCCCACGGCACACCAGGCAACGTCTCGCAGCACACTTGTGTGCCGCGGAACACCGGTTGGGAAACACTGGATTAGTCATGTCTGACTCTTTGTGACCCCATGGAGCAGAATGCCCGTTAGTGAGGGACAAACAGCAGGAGGGGGGCTGTTGCCATTATGCCTTCCCAAATATATCTGAATTGGCTGTGCTGGAAACAAGATGTAAGATTGGACAGCCTGATCCAGCAGGGCTCTTTCTCATACAATATCTCCTGTTGAAATTGGGGTGTAAGAATATAAGCTTAATAGACATTCTCTTGTATAATAAATGCTTTCCCTTTTCTAGGTATTTTTGGTTTGCCGGAAAAACTTTCTGAAGGCAACACAGCACAAGACATGATGCCGTTGATGACCTCTGATGAGGGCCCTAAACAAAGGAACTGGGGCTTACTGGTCACCGGCGTTATTGGTGGGACATTAGTGGCCCTGTACTCTGTTGCCACGCCATTTATTGCCCCTGCGCTGAGGAGGCATTGCCTGCCATATGTCCCTGCAACTTCAAAGCAGGTTGAAAATGTCCTGAAGATGCTAAAGGGCAGAAATGGACCCCTGGTTGATATCGGTAGTGGTGATGGGCGCATTGTGAGTCAAAGTCAGGTTTTGTTCTTGTTGGAGCCATGCTAGTGCATGTCGACCTTTGTGGCACTGTGCTCAAAGTGTATGTAGCTTTCATACAGGGCTAGGACTGGGCGAGACGTAGGAACACATGAAGCTGCTTTAACGGATCCATTGGCGCATGCAGTCCTGTCTTGTTTGGTCTCACTGGCAGCAGCTCCGAGGCAGAGGTTTCTTTCCCAGTCCTGCTACCTAAATCCTTTAATTGGAGATGTTTCCAGTTGACTTGCCAATCATGTGCATTGCATTTGAACTATAAAGCACATCATTAGAGCTGCCAGCTGCAGTCCAGTGTCCCCTGCCACACACACATGGGCACTTTAAAATCTGCTAAGTCAGGTGTTGAAGCACCTCTGACTTTTCCTGCCCTGTCCACCATCCCAGGCATTTTGCACACTCCCTGCTGCTCTGGCAGTTGGGACGCCACGTCCTAGGACAAAAGGACAAGAGGGAAAATGAGAGGGAGGCAGAGTTTCTGTGACTTTACGCCATAATCATCACAACTATAACAAATAAAGGCTTGACATATCTCGCTTTGCATGTCATGAGTCTATCTCATATATTAGTTTCACCTTTTAAGTTGAATTACTGAAATAAATGAACCTTTCCACGATATTCTAATTTTTTGAGTTTCACCTGTACATGCCAGAAAAATTAAATCCCATTGAACTCTGTATACAATGCTATACATGCCTAAGATCCTGGTGTATGTTTGCCTTATTTAAATTATTTTCTGTATTTTCACAGAGTACAGTGGTACCCCGCAAGACGAATGCCTCGCAAGACGGAAAACCCGCAAGACGAAATGGTTTTCTGTTTCGGAGGCGCTTCGCAAGACGAATTTCCCTATGGGCTTGCTTCGCAAGACGAAAGCCCATAGGGAAATCTCCGGGGACCTGTTTTAAATTGCTGGCGGTCGGGAGCAAAGACTTTCGCCCACAGCCGGCCTTCAGAAGAGGTCCTGGACCTCTTCTGAAGGCCGGCGGGGGGCAAAAGTCTTTGCTCCCCCCCGCCTGCCTTCCCGGGACAGCGGAGACTTCTCCGCTGCCCCGGGCGATCTTAAAATGCTGGCGGGCGGGAGCGAAGCGTTCGCTGCCGACCCCCAGCATTTTAAAATCTCCCCGGGACAGCAGAGAAGTCCCGCCCCGCTCGGGATGGCAGCGCAGAGCTGTCTGCCGTGCCGGGATCAGCGCAGCTCTGCGCGGCCATCGGGAGCCGGGGGCGAAGCCCGCCCCGCTACAGATGGCCGCGCAAAGCTGCCTGCAGTCCCGGGACTGCAGGCAGATCTGCGCCACCATCCCGAGCGGGGCGCTAAGTCCCGCCCCGCTCTGGATGCCAGCGCAGAGCTGTCTGCCGTCCCGGGACTGCAGGCAGATCTGCGCCACCATCCCGAGCGGGGCGCTAAGTCCCGGGATCAGCGCAGCTCTGCGCGGCCATCGGGAGCCGGGGCGAAGCCCGCCCCGCTCCAGATGGCCGCGCAAAGCTGCCTGCAGTCCCGGGACTGCAGGCAGATCTGCGCCACCATCCCGAGCGGGGCGCTAAGTCCCGCCCCGCTCTGGATGCCGGCGCAGAGCTGTCTGCCGTCCCGGGACTGCCATCCCGAGCGGGGCTAAGTCCCGCCCCGCTCTGGATGGCGGTGCAGATCTGCCTGCCGTCCCGGGATCAGCGAAGTGTTCGCTGCTGACCCCCAGCATTTTAAAATCTCCCCATGTCCCGGTGAGATTTTAAAATGCTGGGGGTCGGCAGCGAAGCCCTTGTTCCCCCCCAGCCCCCCCCCAGCCTTCAGAAGCCCTTGTTCCCCCCCCCCCCCAGCCTTCAGAAGAGGTCGGGGGACAGACTGTCCCCGGACCTGGTCTGAAGGCGGTTTCCCTAGGAACGCATTAATTGATTTTCAATGCATTCCTATGGGAAACCGTGCATCGCAAGATGAAAAACTCGCAAGAAGAAAAACTCGCAAGAAGAAAAAACTTGCGGAACGAATTAATTTCGTCTTGCGAGGCACCACTGTACCAAGTTCTAATATTCGGTGTCCCAAGGAATCTGTTTATTTTACTGAACAAAGACTGATTTATCTTTGCAGGTAATAGCAGCTGCAAAAGTTGGATTCAAAGCTGTTGGTTATGAATTAAATCCTTGGCTCGTGTGGTATTCCAGGTACTGTGCCTGGAGAGAAGGAGTTCATCAGGATACCAAATTTTACATTTCAGACTTATGGAAGGTACGAGAACATTTACAACTGATCAGCGATGCTAGTAAAATGGTCAGTTGCAATACTGAATATGGCTTTTAACATTTTTTTTTAAATGCTGCATACTAATATTGAAATTCCAATGGGAAATAAGAATTGGAGCACACATATTATATTAAATTAAATTAAAACCAGAGGCAAAATGGCAATTCTCCTTTCCCCCTTTCTTCAACCTTTTTGTTTGTGTCTGTCTTTGGGCCAAACTAGAGGCCGGGTAGCCCACCCATTAGGCAAGGTGAGGCGACCATCTTGGGCGGCAAGATCCTCAGGAGCAGCAGATCTGGTCTCCAAGGGAGGCATCACCTGCTGCATCCTCCTCCTTGGATGCCAAATCTGCCCCCTCCTCAGTGCCACCTCCACAGCGGCCTTTTGGCAAATAGGCTGCGGATCTCCTGCTACGCCTAGGGAGGAAATGGCGGGGGCTGCCTTCTAGGGTCTTCTCAACTCTGCACCTGCACAGCGTGATTCAGAGTGGGGCCCTTTCCCCCTGTGACGGCCTTTGATTCCCACTCAACCATCAATCAGGTAAATTTGATTCTCCCCTCCTTGTTCCTGATGTAGGTCTTCACTCACTCCTTCTTCCCTGATGGTGAAGGGGGCACTCTTTTGTGGTTTGCCTCAGGCACCAAAATGTCTTGGGCCAGCCCTGACTAGGGGTCATAAGAGCAGGTGGGTCTTTAGGTCTGCCACCTCCCAACACCTGTCACAATCTGAATTTGCAGGGTGGGGTGGTTGCACCGTACTGCTCTTTAGATAGGACACATAGAAGACTGGGTTTCTCTCTGGCTTTATCTATGCACAAGCCCACATTCATTCAGTGCGAAGTCGTGTTGCTTTCCCTTTACTCTCCTTTAACGCAACTAAACCTCTCTCTCTCCTATAACTCTTTGAACACTCTTTGCTTGGTGTCTTCTCTCTTTCCTCTGTCTTGAATTCTTCAACTTGCCTAATCTATTTTGCTCATCTTTAATGGTCACAGGACTCCTTTTTTCTGTTCTTGCATTGGCTCCTTCTCCTTGTATTCTGTAATCTTGTTTCTTTGTCCTTTAGAAGCCCAAATGGCAAAAAGTTCTGTTTCTCTGGCTAAAAGTTATGATCTGAGCTGTGGGAACTGGAAGTTGTTGAATGCTGTTATCTTTTGTTTTTGTAACACTGGGATTTCATGGTGTTGTCTTGCTATTTTATTTATTGTAGGCCACTTTGAGCTTTTGGGGAAAACAGCTAACAAACATTTCAAAGGAATTAAATTAATTTCCACTACTGAACCTCACCATTTCTTCCTTGCTGCTCCCAGTTGTTTGAATTCTTTATCTCCTGGTTTTGATCTGACTCTTTTCATTGCTGTATTTAAATTAATTGGCCACCCCCAACCCAGAACCCACAAGTTGTTTTGGAATACAAGTTCCATCAGAGTTAGTGAATAAGCAGGTTATCTTTTCACTATTAATCTGATATGTTCTCATGAGAGTTAGTTGTTAGATGACTGTGACTTTAAAAGAAACAGGAGCTTTTCAGAGGGTAGTAGACTAAGCAGTTCCTCTCATATAATATAATTATGTTTGAAATTCATGAAAATATAATGAAAGAGAAACATAAAAAGACTGGAACAGGAATCTTTAATATTGGACCAGCCTACCAAATTATTTATTCCTTGTTAAATATTAGTAATATCTCTCTTCTTCAGAAACCTTAACCTAGAAAGTTTGTTCTTGAGTGTAATACGACCAGTATCCGAGCTTAGAGACCAATCTAGGCTTCTTACGATTGAAGTAGAGCCTAGGAAGAACACACAAAATGAATTGTTTAGAAGATAAGTTTAGAAAATGAGACTCTCATTTGCTTATGCAACAGAAATTCAGATAGGTGTTTTTTAGTGGCAGGCAAGTCAAAGCAGCAAATCTCACCACCAGTTTCCTTCTGTCGTTCATATGTAGAAGCGGAGCAGGGATCTCCACTGCAGTGCATTGCTGCCATTAGGCAGCTGGAGCAAAATGTTTAATTTAACTTAAATGCAGATTTTCTGATTCTTAGAGTGTAAAAGAAAGAACTAGATGTACTTTTTCATCATGTTACACACATATGGTCTGTACTAAGTAGACAGACAAACAGAATTTTTAGAGGATGAATATTTATGACTACCTTTTTTTAATAGGTCAGTTTTTCCCAGTACACAAATGTTGTTATATTTGGAGTACCTCAAATGGTAAGTTTCTGTTATTGAATCATAAAATTATCTAGAATGTTGGTATATAGAAATCAATTAGAACCTTTTTAATGAATAGGTAGGACAGAATCCTTGTTTTATGTTTGGGGGGGGGGTAGAAACAGCTTATTAGAAAAGCTAACCAATAAACTGAAACTGACACGGGGACAAATAAAAGAGGACGTCTTCACTCCAGTATGGCTCCCCTTTATCACATACACAGCCCAACAAGACAATGACAAGAACCTGCCGACAGCATACATATCAATCTGGCTTCCTTGACCCAACAAGTTCTCCTCTCCTCACAAAGGCAAACAAATCCCATCACAGGCAACCACAGACAGCCAACCACTCCTTGGGCCCTCAGCCTCTCACTACTAAGGAAACGTAAGCAGCGAATAGACACAATACCCCACACGTACCCTGCAAAAAAATAAATGTCACCCCTCCTCTCCCCCCCTCTTCTTCCTGGTCTTATACTGTACTCAACACTAACGTCCCATAACAAATGTAACTGATCAGTAGAAAAGACTGTACAACTTGAAAAAGGAGACAAGGCATGTCCTTTTGTAAACAATGAAAATCTTTAATAATAAAAATTTAAAAAGGGGTAGAAACTGCTGCTAAAATGTGAAATTCTCCAGAAGTCTCCCCACAGCCATTCAAGTGCATAGAGCTTTCCTTCCTCTACAGAGTGCTTATCGCATGCTACGTCTGTTGTGTCTTCTGCTCATTTGCTATCAACATTTCTGTACAGCCAGTGTCTTATTCCACACTCAGCAAACCTCTTTTAATTCTTGCATCCCTCTACCAGCCCACTGAAGTCTTCCAAGGTGATTCTAAGGTTCTGCCGAAGTCTTCTGACATTTAGTCCTCACTTGATTTTATAATTCCATACATTGTTTGACATGCATGTTCCACAGTAGGTCCTCCCTTGCCTAACTTCGAAATGAATTGGCAGTTCCTGGATGTTCTCTGTCAAGCACTGGAAAGCTAATGTTTTATATACCCAGTTAGTTATTCGTGTACATATCCTAGTGCTGAACACCATGTCCTCCCCACCGTCTGAAGGGGTTTTGTGTGGTTTTGTTCCTTTACAGATGCTGCAACTAGAGAAGAAGCTTGGAGAAGAGCTGGCGTCAGATGCCAGGGTCATTGCCTGCCGCTTTCCTTTCCCCCACTGGAGACCAAAGCACAGCTTTGGAGAGGGCATTGATGCTGTGTGGGCATATGATTCAGAATCCTTTGGAATGAAAGAAGAAAATGATTTCATTAAGACTAAGTGCATTCTTTCTAATTAGTTTAAATTCCAGAAGTATTGCACTGGTGCCTTTAAACAGTGAATGTGGGCATTTTATAGATAGTGGGAGAATATTTCGGTAGTGGTAGCACTAAATGCTTTCCTGAATATTTCCTGTATCTTTTCAAGGAGGGCTTCAGCCATGAAAAATACTTGTACAATTCCCCCCCCCCCCAGTCATGGTGAGGTGGGATATAACTTTAATTTAAAAAGTAAATGACAGAATTATGACTTACCAATTCTTAAAAATGCACTGGTAAAATGTGTCCTCAGTTATATGTGTATTTCACTTTAGTGCATAATCAGTAGTAATATCTAACAAGGTTTTATTAAAAATTGGGCTGTCTGATACAGCTAACTTTCCTTTGAGTATTCTTTGTGCTTTACGATTAGATGAAGACCTTAGACACCCTTCCTCTGAAGCAGGTCTCTCCCTCGCTGCTTGCTCTTCTACCTTTCCTACTCAATACCCTTCCACTTCGTCAGAACAAGAAACTGTATTGCCACATTTTATGAGGACAGATATTTAAAGTGCCTGCCAGGGTGCAGGGCCATAGAGGTGGGACAGAAAGAGTACACAGTAGGGTGTGTGTGTGACTGGAGTTACAAGTCAGTACAAAGCATCAGAAGAAGCAGCCAATGGGAGGAGTTCAGCATCATGCTAAGGTAAAGTCTCTTGGCGGTATACTAGTTGCACTAGCATACTAGTTCAGTATACTACTAAGCGGTATACCAGTTGCACCAGGGAAGGGAAGGAAGCCAGCATGGTTCTGCTGGCTGGTTGTATAGCAGATTGATGTAGCCCCAACACTTCTGGTTGCACAGCAAGCTTCTGCATCCGTTGCACTGGATTTCATATTGTAGAACCATTATTTTTGCCTTTACTCCAGTGCAACAGCTCCTTGAACCAGTACTCAGAGAATGTTGAGTCCAGGCCAGTATGTTGAAATGAAGATGATGCAATTGATTAAATGGTTTTGACAAAAGGCAGCGTAATGATAATACAGAGAACTGCCAAGTGCTTGTAGGTCATCCCAGTCTCATTGCACATATAAACAATAACATAACTCTCAGATGAAGCAGGATGAGATCTCCAGGATCGAACCTCATTTCATACTTCTTCAGCAAATGGAGAAATATGCAGATCGCATGGAACCTGAAGCCAGCACTGCTATCAAGTACGCTAGCTCTCTTATAAACCAGGCATAGCTCTTCCCCTTCAAAGTTTCCCTCTCGTCTTATTGTGTTTGCAAACCTTTTAACACAATTGGCTAAACTGGTGGTATGGCACAAAATATTCATGACCATCACAACTGCCCTGGAGCAAGGCTGTCAGAAAGTTTGTGCTATAACTTCTGTGATGGAAGGGAATGTTGTCTGATTTGTTGCTGGGAATACAACTTCACACAGGCTCTTGGGACAGAAGTAACTTTGTGCATGATAAAGTCTCAGAAGAAATTTAAAAAAATAGGAAAGTTCAAGGATAGAAGAGAAAAGAGTACAGAGAAGCAATAAGAGCCAAGAAATTGGATCTTTGAAGAAACCAACCAAATCTTGGACTGTAGGCTTTTCATTAGAATTTATAGGCAATAGTAAATTTGATTCTTTCCCAGAAGCATTAGTGTTAAACCCAAATACAGTGGTACCTCAGGATTCCTACGCTTCAGGTTACAGACTCCGCTAACCCAGAAATAGTGCTTCAGGTTAAGAACTTTGCTTCAGGATGAGAACAGAAATCGTGAGGGGCCACTAGGGGCGCATCAGAAGATGGCTGACAATAACATCTCTCTGACCCACACAAGGTAATTTGGAGGCTGTGATGGGAGTAAATAGCCTCCCTACCCCCCCAGGATTGTGGGGGGGGCTGCCCTTGCCTGTTGTGCCCTATACCACCCCCAAATTTGTGGGGATGGGGGCACTAGGCAGACTGCCCGCCTGTGGATTTCGGCGCTCCTGGACGCTGCCTCTGATCTGCGCCGCTAGCTGCAAGAACTTCAAAAGAAACGATTAGGATGAAGTGAATGCACATATTTCAAGGAAGGAGGGGGAGTAAAGACTGCTAACAGAAGAGATCTCTGCTAAACAAGATGAGTTGGAGGAACAAGAATTAATCAGATGAAGATACACCAAGACTCGGTATGGCAAAGGGACTTGATGGGGGAGGGGAAAAAAACTTTCCTTTCTTTCCTCTATGTGATCAAACAAGAATCCCCCGCCCCCTCACAAGTCAGAAATGTCGTTTGAAGGACTTAAGCTGTGGATTTATGACTGTGTGGAGATAAACTTTCTAACCCAAGCATGTTTTAAGAAGAGTGTGGAATGCATAAGGGCTTTGGAATGACGCAGTTAAAAATACCGTCACCATATTGGGAAGTTCTGTCGGAGGACTTAAGTCTGGGAGGAGAAATAGAGAAATAGAGCTGTTTTTATATTGTGGGTGAAACTCCTCAGAGGGACTTAAGAACGACAGTTCTGTGATTAATGATGGAAAGAGCGATGTTATCTATGAATGCGATGATATATGGAAACCATCCCGATTTGAGGATTGGACCAACGGAAAAATTCACACAGGATTATTATTGGTGTTTATCGGCTTAAGGAGATTATCAGAAGAGATCATAAAGAAAAAAGAGAAAATATACGAACAAGATGAGATGTGGAAACAGCAAGACTGGATAGAATTATGAACTTTGTTTGGACTGATTTGGACATTAACGCAGTAGCAAGAAGATGATAAGAATCCCCCTTCGGATCTTGAAATATGGGTCCCCTCAACAAAATTTAAAATTCGGCTTTGTAATTCGGAATTTATATGATGTGATTTGATTTGATTGGCCGGTTAATAAAAAATATATTTTTTTAAAAAAAGAGAACAGAAATCGTGCTCCGGCGGCACGGCAGCAACAGGAGGCCCCATTAGCTAAAGTGGTGCTTCAGGTTAAGAACAGTTTCAGGTTAAGAACGGACCTCCGGAACGAATTAAGTACTTAACCCAAGGTACCACTGTAGGTGTTTTTTGCTTTTCCTGAGTCCTTCCCTGTCCTGAGATAGTCCCTCCTTTTTTATCTTCCATATCTGTGAAAGGGTACAAAAGAGTTTGTAACAGTGGACATTGGGCGACATTGCATACAACCTAATCACAGATTGTTAATGAGTTGCTATATAATGTTATTCATATGTCAGTGTCAGGGATAATCATCCAGCAACACATTCCCATTCATATTCTGCTACATCTAGTCATGCAGAACTGCATGTAGCTAGAGTGGAATTCGGGCAAAAGTCTTGCTGTGCAGCATGGGCAGGCAATGGATCTGGAACACAACAAGATGGGGAGTATCTTGCAGTTGCCTTGGCAACAAGGACCATTTCCCCTCCCCGAATGTGAGAGCTTCATTTGGTCATAGCAACATTGTCAGGAACCAAACGTAATATGAACTATATGAACCCTGATTGGTATGGATTATCTGCAGCAAAGAAGTCCTAAAGCAGACCTGTGTCCTAAAGCAGCATTGTTCTGGGGCTGTGAACCAGCATAAAGAAAGAAAGATTGGGGAGGGAGTAAGCTTTTTGGCCCCTTTCAAAACTCAGGGTGTTGTTTTTTAATGTGAGCATTTGTGTGCATATGGATAAGATGGGTGACATAAAAAAAATTGTGAGGATGTATGTATAATTTGACTAAAAAGTTGTAGGCGTGGTCCATCTTATGTTGTTAAGCTTTTTCTACACACACCTAATCTGTACTTCCTTCCGTACTTTTCTTAGAAAAGGATTATATTTACTGTTGGCAGGAAAGCACACTCCACCTATGTAACTATGTTCATTAGCAGGTGCTGAAGTGCTCCACAAATCTTTCAAAAATAATTGCTTTTTTAATGAGTAGCTTCATGTGGGTATAGAATTTCAGCATGGCAGCATATTTATTAGTACTAATAATAAAGGACAAAAGTGGTAAGGACCTAACAGAAGCAGAAGACATCAAGAAGAGGTGGCAAGAATACACAGAGGAATTATATCAGAAAGATATGGATGTCTCATACACCCCAGGTAGTGTGGTTGCTGACCTTGAGCCAGACATCCTGGAGAGTGAAGTCAAATGGGCCTTAGAAAGCACTGCAAATAACAAGGCCAGTGGAAGTGATGGTATTCCAGCTGAACTATTTAAAATTTTAAAAGATGATGCTGTTAAGGTGCTACACTCAATATGCCAGCAAGTTTGGAAAACTCAGCAGTGGCCAGAGAATTGGAGAAGATCAGTCTACATCCCAATCCCGAAGAAGGGCAGTGCCAAAGAATGCTCCAACTACCGCACAATTGCACTCATTTCACACGCTAGCAAGGTTATGCTTAAAATTCTACAAGGTAGGCTCAAGCAGTATGTGGACCGAGAACTCCCAGAAGTGTAAGCTGGATTTAGAAGAGGCAGAGGAACCAGAGACCAAATTGCAAACATGCGCTGGATTATGGAGAAAGCTAGAGAGTTCCAGAAAGACATCTACTTCTGCTTCATTGACTATGCAAAAGCCTTTGACTGTGTCGACCACAGCAAACTATGGCAAGTTCTTAAAGAAATGGGAGTGCCTGATCACCTCATCTGTCTTCTGAGAAATCTCTCAGTTTCTGAGAAACAAGAAGCTACCGTCTGAACTGGATATGGAACAACTGATTTGTTCAAAATTGGGAAAGGAGTACGACAAGGCTGTATATTGTCTCCCTGCTTATTTAACTTATATGCAGAATTCATCATGCGAAAGGCTGGGCTGGATGAATCCCTAGCCAGAATTAAGATTGCTGGAAGAAATATCAACAAACTCAGATATGCAGATGACACAACCTTGATGGCAGAAAGTGAGGATGAATTAAAGAACCTTTTAATGAGGGTGAAAGAGGAGAGCGCAAAATATGGTTTGAAGCTCAACATCAAAAACCGAAGATCATGGCCACTGGTCCCATCACCTCCTGGCCAATAGAAGGGAAAGAAATGGAGGCAATGAGAGATTTTACTTTCTTGGGCTCCATGATCACTGCAGATGGTGACAGCAGTCACGAAATTAAAAGACGCCTGCTCCTTGGGAGAAAGGCGATGGCAAACCTAGACAGCATCTTAAAAAGCAGAGACATCACCTTGCCAACAAAGCTCCGTATAGTTAAAGCTATGGTTTTCCCAGCAGTGATGTATGGAAGTGAGAGCTGGACCATAAAGAAGGCTGATCGCCGAATAATTGATGCTTTTGAATTATGGTGCTGGAGGAGACTTTTGAGAGTCCCATGGACTGCAAGAAGATCAAACCTATCCATTCTGAAGGAAATCAGCCCTGAGTGCTCACTGGAAGGACAGATCGTGAAGTTGAGGCTCCAATACTTTG